GGGGTCGGTCCCGGGCCCCGGCCGGTTTCCCTCGCGCCGCCATCGCCGCCGCTGCGCCGTGCGGTCGTGACAAGTCACCGCGAACTTGCCCTCCGCATCGTTCCAGGCTACGAGAAAGCGCAGCTGGTGCCTCTCGGGCTCGGTGAAGAGGTCCTCGCGGACCGGCACCCAGCCCTCGAGGCTGTCAGGCTGCTCGTCCTCCATGGCCGCCGCGCTCAGCGGCCGGAGGGCCGGGCTCGCCCAGGCCAGGATTCCCAGCATCCCTCCGCACCGGGCGAGCCGAACTGCGACATCTTTCCCTGTAATCTAGTCCGGGTCAGCGCCCTGCCACCGCCCCTCTCGCCTGCACTTTGGATTGGCTCTCTGCGGGCTGTGAGGCTTCCAGCAGGCGTCCGGGATGGGTTGGTGACAGAAGGGCGGGTCCGCGACAACCAATGAAAACGTTAAAAGGTTTTCCTCTGCCCGACCTACGGGAATCAATCGATCACGCGACCTAACCAGAAGCCTAGGATTTACCACTCCCCTTTTTCACCTTTGTACGCACTGACAGTGGAAAAATATTCGTTTATTGAACAAGTTATAGTTTTAGCCTTCTACACTAAAGTGGGGACATACTGTGATTAGAGCCTTGGCCAAGTCCACCTATCAGCATCAGCGCCCTATTGAATACATGATCTCTGTCCTCAAGAGTGTGTCACAGACAGAGATCTCTCCAGTCAAAGCATCCTGACTCCCAACCAGGGTGTTTTAAGTATTATCCATTTTCTAACTCTTCATTTTAGACATAAGGAAATGGAATCCTTCCTCCTCACAAAGCAACGCTTGTCCTAAGATATAGGACATTTCGCTTTCTGTCTCTGGCAAGTGCTCACACCCTATAGCAAAAAAAAGAAAAAAAAAAAACTCTCAAAAAAAAAAAAAAAAAAAGATACATGGACATTCTGGCTAAACCTGGCTACTAAAGATACTTTTAAGGAGATAACAGGAAATTCATTTTATGTGTGGGAATGGAGTATGTTGGATCTATTGTAGATCTGTTCATGCAATGGGGTGGTCCAGAACCTGATTTGTGATTCTTGGACCTCTCAATTGATTGAAGAAAATAAAGAAGTGGTAGTGAAAAGAAAGTTTGGGAGGGAGACAGGTGAAGAAGGATTTCTCTAGTGAGAGCTGTCAGTGAGCTGGAGAGAAGGTTGGTAGTGTCATCCACTAACCGCAAGACCAATGAGCGGTTTTCCAAAGGACACTTTAGAAAGCTGGCTGTATTTCCTGTAGTTGGATTGATGATGGCCTGGGACAAGGGACTAGGCTGTTTTGATGGCAGACCCAGGGTGTGGGCAGTGAGTGAGGTGGCTGCATTAGGAACATCTGCATCCCAGAGTTTGCCAGAACCAAGACTGGAACACACTTCCCAAGATCCAGATGTGGGACAACAGGAAGAACTACCATGTATGGAACCACTTAGATTCTGCCCAAGAGGACCACCTGCATGAATGAGGAGACCTTGTTTAAGAGACCCTGGAGATGGCCCCCCCGGCCCCCCTGGAAAGTGAGGCTCCCAGACTAATCGTGGAAACCAGGGGAGAGGTCTTCACTATGGGAATCTTCAGAGATGTACAAAAGTTCCCCATGATAATCAGATCTAAACATTTTCCAGATCCAAAGAGCCTGAAGTTGGCTTCCTGCACCCACCATGGCATTTGCTCAAATGGAAGCCATCTTCTCACCTTCCCCTTCCTGCCCTGATGTCCAAACCCCAGTGCTCCAGGGAGGAGTTTGGGAGGAAGCCAACTCTCCCTTTCCCAGGGCAGACTTCCAGCTGAAGAGATCCATGCCAGGGAGAGGAAAAGATTTTGATGCTGACTAACCCAGATTGGTCTTTTCGGTGACTATATTGAACTGGACCTTCAATTTCTGAATTTCTGACTAAGATTTAAGTTGATCCTATGACTGAGAGTTGCCTAGGAGGGAGCAGAAAGTCATATGGTCTGTTAGATTTTCATCTAGAAAGGGGAATAATTCTCACCTTGAGCATACTTAAAAAGAATGATGTGAAGGAAAAAAAGTTGCATCTGATTACCTTCAGAGTCGTACTTACCCAAAAGTCTTTAGGAAAAAAGACCCTGACAAAGATTTGGTGAGGCACACAGCTCCAGGGGTCTCAGAAGTCTCCCTCCCAGCCTGGCTGTGGAAACACCCAGCGTGCTACATATGCCCGGCCACGTGAGTCCTGTGGTAGAGCCACCCATCTCTAATCTGCACCATAAATGAAGTAACCCAGCGCAACATGTGACCTCTCCTGGTGGCACTTGAGCAATAAGAAGTGGCAAGACATCCACAGCAGGTCTATATTTGGCCTTTCTCTCATGACAAGTCTGTTGCTATTTGCAGCGGAGCCAGCTCATGTTACCATGCAGCTTTGGTGCCCCACTTGCAGAATCCTGGTGTAAAACACGCAGGGGTAGCCCGTGGGGCAAGCAGAGGTCACCAGGAAGCAAAGCCGCTGAACATGGATTCTGTTTTCTAGCAGAAGTCCTCCGAGTTAAACGAAGCATTTATGGACCCTTAAATTAGCAGGCAAGTTGTTGGACAGTCATATTCTTCTAATGCAAACTATATTCTTAGAAACTTATTGTCGTAATGTCAATGCAGTGTGTTTCCTTTAGGTGGGAAGAGACATCATGATAAAATGCAGGCATTTAAATGGCAGTAAACAGTATACATGTTTTCTTTGCCTTCTTGTAGCAAGGATTCGAGTTTATTGACTGGTATTAGAAAGGCTCTGATTGAACTAAGGAGGCTGGTGATTCTTGCAGTGTGTCTTTAGGGTATTTTTAGTGCAAGGGCCCATTTGCTGGAACAATGTGGCACTCTTAGATGTTGATATCATCTGGCCATAGTATTGGATTGGTAAATACTTCTTATTTTAATCTGTGTGTGTGTGTGCTGCCAAACCATAATTTCATGCTTTGATTCAAAGACTGAAAAATAGCACTGCAGTCATTTTTCTCTTGTTATATACACGGCCTCCTCCCACAGAAATGTTTAGGTCTGGGCCGTGCCTGTAAAGTGAATTTAAACCAGTATACATTACTATACATCTAATGCTTTAGAGCTAGTTTCCCTGGGCCCCAGTCTAGTGGCACCATTGGTGGCAAAATGAACTGCAGTGCTGGAAGCCACATGACTGACCCAGGGTTCAGAGCCCCTAAGTCAGCTTGAAAACACAGCAGACACTTGCACTTGCGTCTCCTAGTGAGTTTAAGGTTAGGCAGAAGGAGATGACAGCATGAGGAGACCGTGTCAAGGGTGCGTCTCTTGCACTCAAGCTCAATCTCCCTCCTCTCCTCTCTCTGTCTCTTTCTTACTTTCTCTCATGCGCATGAATTCTCTATCATGAATGATATTTAAAAAAAAAAAAAACTTTGAAGTGGGAGAGTTGGGCAGCAGGTGATGTGGTAGTTAAGGTACTAGATCCCACATGACCAGCTTCATGGTTTGAGTCCTGGCCCTGACAACTTGACAACAACAACACATCAGGCACATGAGCATGTGTACCCAAAATCCTGAGAGAGAATGGAAGAGAAGGTATTGTGTCGTGGCCGTTCCTGGGAGTGATTTCTTACTTTTTCTCTGTGTCTGTCTCTCTCTGGTAAGGGCATGTGCCCTATGGCAAAAACTAAAAACAAAACACTTTTTTTTTTCTCTGAGAGCTTTTTGCTATCCGGTGTGTATCTCTAAATGCTGGCTCGTTCCCAGGCAAATCAGCTCTGGGAAAGATTTAATAAGACTGAGCATCTGGGGCCAGCTGGTAGTATGTAGGCTAAGGCGTTGGATCTCACATGGCTGACTGAGCGGTTTGAGTCCTAAACCCGGCAGCTTGAAAACCATGCCAGTCACGTGTGCACACACCCAAGATCCTGAAGAAAATAGAGGAAAAGGGTTTGCAGTGACTATCCCTCCCCCAATGGGTAATTTCTCACTCTCTCTCTCTCTCTCTCTCTCTCTGTCTCTCTATGGTGAGATAAAACACTCTTTTTTTTTCTTTTGGAGAGGTTTTCACTATAGGGCGTGTGCGCTCGCCAGACAGAGAGAGACAGAGAGACAGAAAGCGAGAAATCACCCCCCAGGGGGGATGGCCATGCAGCAGTCCCTTCTCTGTTCTCCTCTCGGGAACTTGGGCATGCATGCACACGCGCCCAGTGTGAGTTTTAAGCCACCGGGTCCGGGACGCGAACCGTGGTCGACTACGTGGGAGTCTAGCAACATAGCCATTACACTAACTGCTGGTCCCAGCATACACACTCTTATAGCAGAAAAACACACACACACACACACACAACAAAAAACCCAAGCATCTGGAAACCGATGCTATTTTAATAATTTTTAATAAATTTTAATTTCTATAATGTTTTTATAATTTACATATCTGTAAATTTTTTGAGAGTTTTTTGCTATAGGGCATATGCACTCACCAGAAAGAGAGAGACAGAGAGACAGAAAGTAAGAAATCAACCCCCAGGGGTAATAGCCACGCCACAATCCCTTCTCCTCCGTTCTCCTCTCGGGATCTTGGGCACGCACGCACACACACCTGGCATGAGTTTAAGCCACTGGGTCCAGGACCCAAACCATGGTCAGCTACGTGGGAGTCCAGCGACACAACCATTACGCCAACTGCTGGTCCCATATCTGTGAATTTTAAAATACTATTGCAAAAAATAATAAATGTTACAAAAATAATCAAGATAATGGTTGTTCTGTCCAAGGAAGCAAAGCAAGGACATTGGATTTCAAGAGACTGTGTTAATCCAGGTTTTCTAAGTAGGCACTGGATGGGATAGATGTGCAAATTTTGTTTTTGGGTTTTTTTTTAAGATTTTTTTTCCTTAGGGCATGTACACTCCCCAGAGAGAGACAAAAATAGACAGGGAAAGTGAGAAATCACCCCCCAGGGACCTCACAATCCCTTCTCCCCATTCTCCTCCCAGGATCTTGGGCGTGCATACACATGCGCCTGGCATGAGTTTTAAGCTGCCAGATCCAGGACTCAAACTACAGTCGGCCATGAAGGAGTCCAGAGATACAACTGCTATACCACCTGCTGGCCCCAGAATTTTTTATTTTTAGTAGTCATTTTATTTAACTGTATTTACTTATTTATTTTACTTTGACCAGAGAGGGACAGAGCCAGAGAGAGAGAGAGAGAAAATGAGAAAGCAAGCCACCAGGTCCAGGACTCATACTATGGTCAGCCATGTGGGAGTGCTTTTAACTACCCTGCCAGCCCCCAGAATTTTTTTAAGAATTATTTATTGGGACCAGCAGTTAGCATAATGGCTATGTTGCTGGACTCCCATGTAGTTGACTGCAGTTCGAGTCTCGAACCCGGTGGCTTAAATTCACGCCAGGTGCGTGTGCGTGCATGTCCAAAATCCCGAGAGGAGAAAGGAGGAGAAGGGATTGTGGTGTGGCCATCCCCCCTGGGGGGGTGATTTCTCGGTTGAGGTGCTGGACTCCCATGTGGCCAATTGAGGTTTGAATCTGTCTCTTTCTGTCTTTCTGGTGAGCGCAAGCACCCTATAGCAAAAACCTCTCAAAAAAAAAAAAAAGAAAAAAAGAATTATTTATTTTAGTTTTATTTATTTGTTAATTTATTTTAATTTGACCAGAGAGAGATACAGAGAGAGAAGGAAAGTGAGAAAGCAAGATACCAGGTCTGGGACTTGAACCATGGTCAGCCATGTGGGAGTGTCCAGCACCTTAAATCACCATGCCACCCGCTGGCCCCCAATCATTTTTTTAAGAATTATCGGGGCGTGGGAACCAGCAATTAGTGGAATGGCTATGTCGCTGGACTCCCACGCAGTCGACCGCGGTTTGCGTCCCGGAACCAGTGGCTTAAAACTCACGCCCGGCACGTGTGCGTGTGTGCCCAAGATCCCAAAAGGAGAATGGAGGAGAAGGGATTGCGGTGTGACCATCTCCCCTGGGGAGTGATTTCTCGCTTTCTGTCTCTCTGTCTCTCTCTGTCTGTCTGGCGAGCGCACGTGCCCTATAGCGAAAACCTCTCCAAAAAAAAAAAGAATTATTGGGGCCAGGTCAATAGGGAGCAGCTACTATTCATATTATATTTACTGTTATTGTTATTATTTCTTTTTAGATTTTTCTTTATCTCCATTAAAATAGTAAACATCATATTCTATGTATAATGCCAAGCAAATCTGTTTATTTTACTTAACATCATATTGAAAGTCTTTTTGCAAATTATCATTTGCTCTCTATAAACATGTGAAAGGCTGCTTTGTATTCTGCGGTATACATGTCCTGGTTACTTAACCATTCTGATCATTAGGCATGCTCAAAAAATTTGTTATTAAAAATTTTTTACAGTGATATTTTTATGCAGAAATAACTTTTTCCTCCTGCATTTGGAACTGTTCTTCGGGGTTCCAGAAGTACATTACTAGGTTAAGAATATGAACAAAAGGCACATAGTGGTTGAGGTGCTGGACTCCCATGTGGCCAATTGCAGTTTGAATCCTGGACCCAGTGACTTGAAACTCACACGGGGCATGTGTGCACGCATGCCTAAAATCCCGAGTGGAGACGAAGGGACTGCTGTATGACTATCCCTTCTGGGATGATTTCTTACTTTCCCTCTTGCTATCTCTGTCATTTTGCTGAGCACACACGCCCCATAGCAAAAGAAAAGAATGTGAACATTGGACCAGCACATGGCTCAGAAGTTAGAGTGGCTGTATCCCACATGTCCAGTTTCATAGTTTGAGCTGGTGGCTTAAAAAGCGTGCTGGGCACATGTATGCCCAAAATCTCAAAAACAAACTGAGGAAAGGGCTTGTGGCATGGCCATCCACCCTGGGGGTTGATTTCTTGCTTTCCCTTTCTCTCTTTCCCCAGCCAGTGTGCAAACCCTATAGCAAATTTAAAGAAAGTATGTGAACATCTTTAAGGCTCCTAACACAGGTAGTCAAATTTGTTCTCCAGAAAGGCAGAGTCAGTTTACCTTCCCAGCATATGAGAGTGCTCACTTCACTAACCCTTTACCCAGCCTTGAGTATCATTTTTATGTTTTAAGTATTTACTAACCGGAAAGGCAAAAATAGCATTAAAATATTTTTATGGACCAGCCGGTGGCATGATGGCTAAGGCGCTGGACTCCCACATGGCCAATTGTAGTTCAAGTCCTGGATCCTGTGGCTAGAAAATCACACCAAGCATTTGTGCATCCCCCAGTGGGGATGGCCATGCTGTAATTCCTTCTCCCCCATTCTCCTCTCAGGATTTTAGACAGGCACATACATGTGCCCAGCATGTTTTTCAAGCTGCCAGGTCCAAGACTCAAACCACACATTTGGCCATGTGCTATGCAGCCACTTATTCACCATGCTACCTGCTACCCCATGCTCAGATGATTTTTTGAAAATCATAAATGCATAGAGCCCAATCTAATGAGTAAGCATCTACTGCAGTGACCTTTTAAAGAACTTATTTTTCCCCTCTTTTTGTGTTCTAGGGTCCAGGAAATTCACTATTAATTGTCCAGAAAGGATCTTTCTTATACAAAGGTGCTCCAAGCCTCCAGAATTACAATGGAGGAGGAAGGTGGAGAGGAAGCTGGGATGGACAGGTCAGCTGTTGCCAAGGACTTCCACTTTTATCACATGGATCTGTATGACTCTGAAGACAGACTGCAGATCTTCCCCGAAGAAAACATGAGGATGAGGAGAGATGTAGCCCCAGCTGACATGACCAGCAAGCCAAGCGGGGCAGGGGAAGGTAAGACTCAAAGAGACCTTCAAGAGGAAGTAGATGAACTTGTCCACTTATATGGACTTGAAGATGATCACGAGTTAGGGGATGAGTTTGTTGATGAAAATATGCCTGGAATGGGGGTTTCGGAATATTCTCCTTATGCAATGAAGGGGAGAGACCCAACCAGGGAGCAGAGAGACTGGAGACTTACTGGAGAGGCAGCTGAGGCCAACGACCTGGGCTTTGGAGGGTGGGGGTCCATTGCCAGGACTTGCGGGAAGCATATAGATACACACACGGCCGTACCAGCGAGGAGTATGAGTGCTACGTCATCCCAGAAGAGGAGGATGAAGAAGAAACTGCCGATGTCTTTTGTGTCACATGTAAAACTCCCATAAGAGCTTCTGATACGGTTTCTGATGAACACAAGGAGCATGAAGTGACCCCGCTCAATAAGGCACTGGAAAGCGCCAAGGTAAATAGGTCTTCTTGGTTTTTCTCTGTCCTGCAACTGCATTTGTATCTCAAGCACGTAGGCTGGGTATAAAATTAAAATACATTTTATAGGAGCCAGGAGGTGGCATAGTGGTTAAGGCACTGGACTCCCACATGGCCGACCGTGGTTTGAGTCCCTGACCTGGTGGCTTGAAAATCATGCCTGGTATATGTGTGCACTTGCCCAAAAATCCCAGGAAAAGAATGGAAGAGGCCATTCCCCCCTGGGGGGGAGGAAGATTCTTCACTCTTCCTCTCTCTGTCTCTCTCTCTCTTTCTCTAGTAAGTGCACATACCCTATGGCAAAAACCTTAAAAAAATAAAAAAAACCTTTTTTGGGAAGCAGCAGGTGGTGTAGTGGTTAAGGCACTGAGCACTCCCACATGTCTGACCACAATTCAGCTCCTGGACCTGGTAGCTTGCTTTCTCGCTCTCTTCTCTCTCTCTCTGTGTGTGTGTGTGTGTGTGTGTGTGTGTGTGTGTGATCAAATTAAAATAAATGAATGAATAAATACAATTAAGTAATTCTGTAAAAAATAAAATAAAAAATGAAAAAGCCTTTTTTAAAAGAGAAGAGATGTAGCATTAACATCTTTTATTTTTGCTCCTCTGTTGGATAGGATGAAATTCACAAAAACATGTACAAACTGGAAAAGCAGATTATCGAGATGGAAAACTTTGCAAGTCACTTGGAGGAGGTTTTCATCACTGTGGAGGTGAGAGTGTGCTTGAAGATCCCATTGGATGCATGCTGCTTCTTTTAGTGGCTGGGTCAAGCAGCCATTGCTGGTATGAGTCAGAGAATCTGTTTTCTTAGACGTGAGGTGTCAACACTGCCTCTTCCCTCACCCCTTCCTCTTACCTGGTGTACACCGTATGGAAATGATTACCTGTCAGCCTTCCCTATTGAACTATCAGCTCTTGGTGGGGAGAGTGGTCTTCTTTCTCTTTGTATCCCCGCTCCTACTACATGGTGTGTTTCAGAGCAGGCATTTTAATACAGGTTTGTTGCATGGATAAACAAGGCGAGTGTGTTCCAATCTCAGTCTTTTTCCTTCACCAGCTCCTCTTGCTCATCATGCCCCACTTAGCTGAATCACCACTGTGTGTGGTTTAGACCCTTATTCTAACAAAGGTGACTTAATGTGGCATCATCCAGGGGAGGTCCTCGTGTGCGCTCTGGTGGTAGAGATGAACAGTACGTTTTGCCCTTTGTTATTTGTGTTTTAGTCTTCCTTCATTCTTTCCTCCTTCCCTCCCTTCCTTCCTGTCTTCCTTCTTTATTTTTGTCTCTTCCTTTCCCTTTCCTTTCCTTTCCTCTTCTCTCTCCTTTCTTTTCCACTCCTCTCTTTTCCTCTCCTCTCCTTTCCTTTTTTTTCCTTTCCTTTCTTTTTCCCTCTCCTTTCTTTTCTTTTCCTTTCCTTTCTTCTTCCCTCTCCTTTCCTCTTCTTCCCTCTCCTTTCTTTCCTCTTTTTCTCCTTCTTTCTTTTCCATTCACTGAGAACCTCTTGAGTATCACTTGGTCCTACTGGCTATATAACCAGGGACAGTGGGGTGCTATGTCATTTCCTTGATCTTTGGGGTTGTAACTTCTAGATCTTCAGAGACAACATAAGTTGGGTGTGGACTGCCAAATAGTTTTGGTTGTTTTAAAAGGCAGCATACCCACATCCACCAGTTATTGCTATTCAAACCCAGGCATGCTTTTAGTTGTGCACAGGTTTAACAAAAATAAGTTTATGTTTTGTCTTTGCCTACTTATCCATTTTCAGACTTTCCTGAGAGATTGGTAAAAATTTAGAGTTCCAGGGTTGGAAGGGACTTTCCACCCTTTGACAACCTGTCACCATGCTTGTCATGACATAAGGAGGAACCTGGGCTCTTAAGCCAGAAGCTAAAAGTACTGAGCTTGAAACTGCTGCTCTGTAACATCTGCCTGTTGATCATTTTGGCCACTGGAGTCACTCAAACAAGGCCATTCTTTCTCAGGGGCAGCCTCGATAAAGCTTTGTAAGACACCACACTGTCTTCGATAAGTGCTCTTTTCCTCAGCTGTTACCAATTTCTCATAGGATTTACAAGTTTCTATTCATAAGTGATGGCAAAGCTTGACCCAACCTTCCAGATGAGGGGAACCAGGACTGAGGACTTTGAGACTCTCCCACTCCCTTCCTTCCATGTGAACTCTTGATTTCTATTAATGCAGCTCAGGTTGTATCAACAGGTGCACCTCAGATGAATGAACTAAGCTCCAGGCTGCTTCACCCCCTGTCTTAAAATAGGAGAGTTATTTTACTAATCCCCTGTGGAAGGCACAGAGAAGAGGCAAGTCCTGCTGCCAAGCACAGGGTGGTAGGAGGAGAGATAAGGACAATTGCCAAGACGAAACTTCTTACACTGTTCTGCCCACTTGCTTGCATATCAGAGTATCTTCATCCTCAATGAGGACTCGAGTCTCCCCCTTTACATTCAATACTGGAGAGTCATCTATTGATTTTCCCTCTCTTCCACCATTCTGAGCAAGTCCAAGGCACATAGGCAAACTCCCTGAATAATTGATCAAAACCTCTCTTTGGAAATGTCCTCATTGTCTGATAAAGATGATATCCATCAGGGGAACCAGCAGTTAGCGTAATGGCTATGTCGCTGGACTCACACGTAGTCGACCACGGTTCACGTCCCGGACCCGGTGGCTTAAAACTCACGCCGGGCGCGTGTGCGTGCGTGCGCAAGATCCCGAGAGGAGAATGGAGGAGAAGGGATTGCGGCGTGACCATCCCCCCTGGGGGGTGATTTCTCGCTTTCTGTCTCTATGTCTCTCTCTGTCTGTCTGGCGAGTGCATGCGCCCTATAGCGAAAAACTTCTCCAGAAAAAAAAAAAAAAAAGATGATATCCATCAGAACCTGCAGACCTCCCCTGGGCCAGGAGTTAATATGGCCTACTTAACCTTTCTCATTGATTGTGTTTCCTCTGCCGTCTCGCATTTTCTCATGTACCACATGGCCACAACTCATATTCATCCTTCTCCTGGTTGATATGGTCCTGGTTGTTGTAGTCCTGGTGTTTGTGCAAGCGTCAGGGAGTGGAGATAAGTGTCCAGGAGTTATTGAGAGCCCAGGTGGGAATGATAGGTGGGAAATCTCTCAGGGCAAGCATTTCTGCCTTAAGGTCCAAAGTTCCAGTAGCAGGCTGACTGGTAACGTCCCTGTTTCGTTGTCATAGTGATAGCAGATAGCCAAAGCTGAGGGAGAATTGTAAAAATGTCATCAAGAGAGAAAGCAGTACTTTTTGTTAAAATTATTTTGTGGGCTCTAGGTTAGAGACTCCTGTGTCCTAGCTCCCTCAACCTTCACCCTCACATCCTGACAAGTGCACGGCTAAAACAGCCCTTAGTAGATACATTTTCATGCTCCTAATGTCAGCTGTCAACTGTCTTAAAGGAGAATTTTGGAAGACAAGAACAAAACTTTGAGTTGCATTACAACGAGATCTTAGAAACACTTGCTCAAAAATATGAAGAAAAAATACAAGCTCTAGGGGAGAAAAAGAAAGAGAAGCTGGAAGCCTTATATGGACAACTGGTCAGCTGTGGAGAAAACCTAGATACTTGTAAAGAACTGATGGAAACAATAGAGGAGATGTGTCATGAGGAGAAGATTGATTTCATAAAGGTTAGTAATGAAATAACGAAGGTAAAAGTGAAATGAAATCAAGTGATGAAAGGACAGTTACGGCTGGGGTAGGTTAGGTTGTCTTCTCTCTGCCTGGAAGAGTTAGAATTGGCTTTTATAGTCAGCATCAATATGATTCTGCCAGATGTTCATGATGGGGACATTGTCACCCCATCTCTCTGCCTAACAGCTGACACTTTGCTTCCATCACTGTTGAGGTAGTCCTGTTCTTTGTTCTGCCCTGGTTACCCAGAAATCTGCCCCTGCCTCCTAGAGCTGAGCAAAAACAGCATGCTGAGAGTTTTCTGGTCATCTATAATTGCCTCTAGGAGCTCCAGAGGGAAAGTTATCAGGATAAAAAGGCACCTTAAATTTCCTGGTTGTGGGGTCGGTAGGTGGTGTGGTAGTTAAGGTGACTGGACTCCCACATGGCTGATCATGGTTTGAGTCTTGGGCCTGGCCTGCTTTCTCACTTTCCTTCTCTCTCTCTTTGTCTCTCTCTGTTCAACTTCAAAAAAATAAAATAATAAAAATAAAATAATTCTTTTTTAAAAGATTTTTTTACTTTATTTATTATTGTTATTATTTTCCAGTTTGATCAGAGACAGACAGCAAGAGACAGAGAGAAGAGGAAAGTGAAAAAGGAAGCCACCAGGTCCAGGTCCAGTTGGCCATGTGGGAGTCCAGCACCTTTAACCACCATGCCACCTGCCGGCCCATAAAATAATTCTTTAAAAAATTTTCCTAGTTGCAAGTGTAGCAGTTATAAATCTTCACAAAAAGACTCAAACCCCCATGAAGCTTGACTGTAGGCATTGTGATTTCGGTTGAAGCTGTGGTCCTATATATTTACAAACTCCACTGAATGTGGCACAGATGTGGTGTCCAGGATGTAGGGGAAGGACTTCAACTTCTAGAAGCTTTTTGGTTGCCATGGATGGCCCAAGGAAGAACCAAGCCCATAAGTCACCCCTCAAAGCCCAGTAGTGCCTGCTTCCTACCATGCGTTGGGTGAGCGATGGGCTAAAGCAGGAGAACAATTTGGCAGGTACCGTGAGGCCTCACACCTCTTGAGCTAGTGAGCCCACCATACAAGACACACTCCAGATTGCATATATACGTGAAGGTATCTTCTCACCATCATTTTTGATGGTGAAAAACTTAGAAACAACTAAAGTGTCCACCTATAGAGAAATTGTTAATGATGGAATTTCCATTTAATGAATCAGTGATCCAGAAGGCCATCGGTAACATGGAAAATGCTTACTTCATGTTCCTAGGGGAGGGGGCTGGCAGGCGGCTTGGTGGTTAAGGGCACTGAACTCCCACATGGCTGACCATGGTTCAAGTCCTGGACCTGGCAACTTGCCTTCTCACTTTCTCTCTCTCTCTCTCTGACTCTGTCCCTCTCTGGTCAAATTAAAATAAATAAATAAATTTAAATCAAATCATTTTTAAAAAATGTTCCTGGGGGAAAACTAGCATGGAAGGGAATGTGGTTTGGTGAGGGTGAGGGGTATGACTGACTTTTTCCTGTCTCCTAATTTCAAAGTTGTATTCGGTTTTGTTTTGTTTTTCTATGTGTATACCAGAAGGCACATGTGATCACCAGATGCTGAGAGAAAGAGGCAGGGAGAAGGAAGGGAGAAAACACCCCACAATGGGATGTAGTCGTGCCCCAATCCCTCTGGTCCATTTCTCCATTCTCTTGGGATTTTGGACACACATGCACATGCACCCAGAGTGTTTTTTAAGTGGGCTGGGATTCAAACTATATGGTCAATCATGTGGAATTTGGTTCCCTTAACCATTGTACTGGTTCTCCAGGTTTTGAAACTATGTTTATATTATCATATAGGTGGGTTTTTTTTTTTTTTATTTCTGAAGTCAACTTAAGGTTTTCTCCTTTTCCTTTATAGGATGCAGTGGCTATGGCTGACAGGTAATACTTTTATTCTGACATGTATTTTCTTTTCCTGTTTCTTTCCTAAATATCTAAATAAACTCAATTCCACTTGGTTATGTATTTCCAGTTTCAGTTTCTGTGTCTAATCCTAAAAGCAAAATAGCACTGGCTTTGGAGTGATGGTGCAGGGTCACAGGAACTGTTAGTATTGAATCTCAGAATCTCGGGCTGGGAGCATGTGTGGTGAGACCCAGCCAGCAAGCCTGTGGTCAGACGTCTCCATAAACCCCTCATTTCACCAGGAGGTACTGAGATCTGAAGTGCTCCCCCATCATCCCCCAGTTGTGCCAGGACTCAGACTATGTGTATGTGTGTGTGTTTTTAAGAATTATTTTTTATTTAACTTTATGTATTTGCTGATTTATTTATTTATTTTAATTTGACCAGAGAGGGACAAAGTGAGAGAGATAGAGAGAAAGAAAGTGAGAAAGCATGCCGCCAGGTCAAGGACTTGAACCATGGTTGGCCATGTGGGAGTCCAGCACCCTTAACCACCATGCCTCCTGCTGCCCCCCTATGTTTTTATTTTAAGAATTATTTTATTTATTATTATTTTTTTTAAAAAATTTGCTATAGGGCACATGTGCTCACCAGAGAAAGATGGGGCCAGGGGATCGAGAAAACAATCCGCCAGGTCCAAGACTTGAACCGCAGTGCTTAAGTCTCTGGACTCCCATGGCAGACTGTGTTTTAGAGTCGGGCAGGCAGGAGGTCAAGCCCTGCTATACTCATGACCTTGTGCAAGTCCAATCAGTCTGAGACTCGCCTTTCTTATTTATAAACAAAGATAGGTTTGCGTAAATGAAATAAGACAATGTTTGAATATGAATACAGAAGTTTAATAATGTGTTAAGTGATGAGTTTTGACAAAGATAGACCTACTTTTGAATTCTTCCTGTGCCACTTACAAACCCTGTAACTGCCAGGAAGCAGGTGCAAGAAGTCTTAAAGGCTTTCAGTCAACTCCTTGAGGGCATGAGGCCATGTACAAAGGAAGCCCAGGGAGTCTAAACCCTCTGCATCTTGGGGTCTGGGGTGATGTAAGGTAGGGAGCTCCAGATCAGCTCCTGAGAGACCTTTCAGAAAGTGTGAAACTGGACCTCCTTGGCAGATGCCCTCTGAAATGTTCTCCTACTCCTTAAAAACACAAAGCAGTCCCACCCATTGCTTCTGGTGACCTTCTAGGTCAACCACAAAGGCAGATGATGGCAAGCAGACAGCAGCATGTTAAACTAAAGAAACAAAGGTTCAACAAAGATGCTGTCTTCATTATTACTGGTGACTAGTTAGGTAGACCCTAAGGAGAATGCCCTTCTGTTCTTTTTTTTTTTTTTTTTTTTTTTTTTTGCTATAGATTATGTGTGCTCCCTGAAAAGACAAAGACAGAGAGCGAGAAACCACTTCCCTGCCCCTCCCCAGGAGGGGCGGCCATGCCACAGTCCCTTTTCCATTCTCCTCTTAGGATCCTTGACATACACACACATGTGCCTGGCATGAGTTTTTAAGTCACATGATCCGGGACTCCAACAGCAGCTAAGTAGAAGTCCAGTGACATAACCTACTTTATCTGCTGGTCCCTCCCTCCATTCTTATTAGCATATCTTTTTATCCTAACAGACTCGGGAAATTCTTGAAAACAAAAACAGATGTGGAAATCTCTACGCATCCTGATTTTGAAGACCAGACCTTGGACTTCTCTGATGTGGAACAGCTGATGGGCTCCATCAACACCATTCCAGGTAGATCTCACCTGTATGTATTCTCTGCAGCTCCAGATTCCTGGAACTTTTGTGTGACGACCACTGTTTCCGATAGTAACTGTACTGTTCTACATCCCACCAACAGTATAGAGAGGCTCCAATTTTCCACATCCTCAACAATACCTGAGGGTCCAAGACTAGAACTAACTAGTTGGCCATGTGGGATCCAGCTTCCTTAACCACCATGCTACCTGCTGACCCAGCTTTCATTTTTTTCACCATTGAGTATAATTTTAGCTGTGAGCCTGCCATATATGTCCTTTAGTATGTTGAGGTATTTTCTTTCCATATCTAACTTGTTGAATGTTTTTGTAATGAAAGGGTATTAAATTTTGCCAGGTACTTTTCTGCAGCTACTGAAATGATAATATGATTAGTTATCTTTGCCTTTTTATAATAGTCATCCTACCAGATGTAAGGTGATATCTAATTGCGTGTGTGTGTGTTTTTAAGAATGGTTTTATTTTACTTTATTTATTTATTTTTATTTTGACCAGAGAGGGACAGAGTGAGAAAGTGAGAACGAGAGAGAGAGGAAAAGTGAGAAAGCAAGCCACCAGGTCTAGAACTCGAACCGCAGTCAGCCATGTGGGAGTCCAACACCCTTAGCCACAATGCAACCTGCCAGCCCCCCTCACTGTTTTTGATCTGCATTTCTCTGATGATTCATGATGTTAAGCAACCTTTTATATAGTTAGTGGCCATTTGTATGTTATCTTTGGAATAATGTCTGTTCAAATCCCTTGCCCATTATTTAATTGAATTGTTTGCATTTTTTGCTATCAAGTTGTATGAGATTCTTTTTTTTTTAATTTTTATTTTATTTACTCATTCATTTTTTAATTTGACTGGAGAGAGAGAGTCAGAGAGAGAGGGAAAGTGAGAAAGCAAGCAACCATGTCCAGGACTCTAGTAGTGGTTAGTCATGTGGGTGTGTCCAGCACCTTAACCACCATGCCACCTTCTGGTCCCCAAGTTGTACAAGATTCTTACATATTTTGGATATTAGTCCCTTATCAGATGAATGGTTTGTGAATATTTTCTACCATCCTGCAGATTGTCTCTTCACTCTCTTTTTTCCTTTGCTCTGCAGAAGCTTTTTAATTTGATATCATCTTATTTGTCTGTTTTTTGCTTTCTTGCCTGTGCTTTTGGTGTCAAATCCAAGAAGTCATTTTAAATCATTATTGAACACCCTATGTTTTCTTCTAAGAGTTTTACACTTTCAGGTCTTAGATCTAAGTCTTTAATACATTGAGAGTTTATTCTTTTTTTTTTTTTTTTTTTAGGAAAGGTTTTTGCTATAGGGCGTATGCACTCGCCAGAAAGACAGATAAACAGAAAGCGAGAAATCACCCCTCAGGGGGGATGGCCACACCGCAATCCCTTCTCCTTCATTCTCCGCATGGGATCTTGGGCACGCATGTACACGCGCCCAACATGAGTTTAAGCCACCGGGTCTGGGACTCGAACCACAGTCAGCTACATGGGAGATCAGCGACATAGCCATTACACTAACTGCTGGTCCCAAGAGTTTATTCTGTGTGCAGTATAAAATAGGGATCAACTAAGGCTGGCAGGTGACATGGTGGTTAAAGGCACTGGATTCCCATATGGCCAACCATGGTTTGAGTCTCAGACTTGGCAGCTTGCTTTCTCACTTTCCCTTTCTCTGTCTCTGTCTGGTCAAATGAAAATAATAATAATAATAACAAATAAAATTAAATAAATACATAATTATTCAAAAAATAGGGGTCAGCTTTTTTTTTTTTTTTTTTGCAGATGAAAAGCTGGTTTTCTCAACAACATTTGTTGATTAGACTGTCCTTTCCCAGTGTGTGTTCTTAACACCTTTATCAAAATCAGTTGACTAGGGGCCAGCAGGTGGCGTGGTGGTTAGTGGCACTGGACTCCCACATGACTGACTGTAGTCGAGTCCTGGACCTGGTGGCTTGCTGTCTCACTTTTCCTCTCTCTCTCTCACTCGCTCGCTCTTACTCTCTTGCTCCCTCCCGCTCTGATCAAATTAAAGTAAATAAATAAGGTTAAATAAAATAATTTTTAAAAATTGGTTGATTATACATGCATATGGGTTTGTTTCTGGGCTCTTTATGGTGTCCCATTGAACTGTAAGTCTGTCTGCATGCCAGTATCTTACTGTTTTGAGTCCTGTATATTTGTCATATATAAGTTTGATGCCTCCGCCTTTGTCTTTTTCAAGGCCACTTTGGCTGTTAGCGGGTCTTTCATAGTTCCACATGAATTTTTGAAATTTTTTTAATTGTTTTTATATTATGTCAAGTAGGATTTATCTCTGTGATGAAAGGATGATTCAGCACATACAAATCAATAAATGCGACATCCCCCCATAATATCACAAAGAATAAAAATCATATCATCTCAGTAGATGTAGAAAAAGCATCTGACAAAACGTAACACCCTTTCATGACAAAAACATTCAACAAATTAGGTTTAGGTGGAAAGTACCTCAACATGATAAAGGTCATATATCGCAAGCCCACAGCTACCATTATATTCAATTGTAAAAAAACTGAAAGCTGGGCTGGCAGGTAGCATGGTGGTTAGGGAAGGTGGATCCCACATGGCCAGCTACATGGTTCAAGTCTTGAACCCGGTGGCTTGAAAACAATGCCAGACAAGCCCCAAATCCTGAAAGGAGGTGGAAATGAAGGGGATTGTGGTATGACCATTCCTCATGCGGGACGCTTTCTCACTTTCTCTTTTCTCTTTAATTAGCACATGTTCCCTCTGGCAAATTTTAAAAAAATAAAGAAAAACTGAACGCCCAGGATAGAAGGAGGTGCTACTGTGGGAGAATTACAGAGGAAAAACACTGCTTGTTTTTCTTCTCAGTTGCGTGTGAGGCTATGTGGGGGTGGAGGAGGCAGAAGTATTAGCTAGTATTAACTAATAGAGAGGAAAGAATTAACTTAATAGATGAACTCCAGAATAGTTGGCTCTGAAAAGCACTATTGGCCACCCCAGTCTTCTCCCATTGTAATGTAGGAGACAGTCATTGGCCACCCCCAGTAAAAGCAGGGCATCATCACTACAGGCTTCCTTCCCTCTGTGCACGCCAGGGCAGGGGCAGCAGTGCTGTGAGCCTGGTTGTCCTGCCTTTCTGGTGGCTTGGAAGGACCAGAGGACCCACAACCCAGGGCAAGACTTGCAGGCTCAACCCTAACCTGGATCCTCATCACTGACACTGTTCCCCAAGCTCACCTGCACTTGTCAAAGCAGGAATAAATACACGGATTGTTCTTCACAGGCTTATGGTTAAGAGCCTTTACATTCTCATCCTTGTCCACTCTGGGCTGCCTCTTGCATTCCCAAAGACCACGGACAAATTAGGGAATTAATGGTCCTATAAGAGGGGCCAGTCCCACCCCACACTTCTACTTAAGGCTGCTCTTTGTTTGTTTTTGTTTTGTCTCCTTTTCTAGCTCCTTCTGCTCCAGTGATAAACCCACAGGCGCCCAACTCAGCCACGGGTTCTTCAGTCCGAGTGTGCTGGAGCTTATACTCTGATGACACAGTGGAGAGTTACCAGTTGTCCTACCGGCCAGTGAGGGACAGCTCTCCTGGGAAGGACCAGGCAGGTGAGGTGCTGCCAGGAATGTATTCATGTTCTTGGGAACAGTCCAGTTCCCTCTGAGGCCTGGGCTCTGGCTTCCTGGCAGTTGGGAAGGTGGAGAAGGGCAGGCTGTGCATGTGGAGCTGTCATGAACTGGGAACTCCCGGCAGGTGGAATACAGGCAGGAGGCATGGCAGAAAGGGTTAGAAAGGCAGGTTGAGGCCTCACCGGGGAGGACCGTAAGGCCAGGTTAAGGTTCCTGGAGTGCGTCTCCAACCATCCTGTCAGAGTTGTCCTTGGGCTCAGTCTCTGGTTGCACTATTTGCAGAAAAAGCCAGGGACGCCCCTTGTCGAAGTGGCCTCTGGCACAGGAGACACTGGAGGGTTCATCTGTAGATATCTGAGGACAAGGGGGCCTTGCAACCTGGAAGGGCCACTGCTGATCAGATCCACATTCTCAGATCAAGATGGCTCCTGGTGATGGCACTAGATCCACATTGGGCACTTGCTGGCCTATTCTTTTTCTTCTATTTATAAAATTCCTTCCTTCCTTCCTTCCTTCCTTCCTTCCTTCTGTCCTTCCATCTCTTTTCTTTTCTTTTCTTTTCTTTTCTTTTCTTTTCTTTTTCCTTTTCTTCTCTTCTCTTCTCTTCTCTTCTCTTCTCTTCTCTTCTCTTCTCTTCTCTTCTCTTCTCTTCTTTTCTCTCTCTTCAATTTGACCAGGGAGAGAGCGGGAGAGAGTAAGAAAGCAAGCCACCAGGTCTGCGACATGAACCACGGTTGACCATGTGGGAGTCCAGCGCCTTAACCACCACACTACTGCCAGCTCTGACCCATCCTTTTTCAAGGGAAATAGGATGGGCTGGTGGGGGGTTAGGGCTGGGGTACCCCCTACCCCCATGCAGTAATTGATAAACTATTCTTCTGTTGAGACAGTAGGATCAGGAAGCAGAAGAACCCTGGCCGAACACTGAAGGAATCAGCAGATCAGGGCCTGCCCTATGTGCAGAAGTCAGAGTGAAAGTGCTAGAATGGGACTGAGAACTCTCCATCTGTGGGTTAGAACCCTGACACCCAGAGAGAAAAGAGCCATTAGTGAAAACCCAGTGGATTATGGCAGAACCAGGATAGGAATTGGGTCTGGGGCTAGCCTCTAGGACGGTGGTCAAGACAGCTGGATCCCACATGGCCTTTACACAGTTTGAGTCTTGAACCCTGCAGCTTGAAAAACACACTGGGTATGTGTGTGTGCAAACCCAAAATTCCAAAAGGAGAGAGAAATGGAGAAGGGTTTTTGGCATTACCATCCTCCATAGTGGGGTGCTTTCTCATTTTCTCTCTCTCTCCCTCACCCTCTGGCTAGTCATGTACCCTCTAGCAAATTATTTTTTAAAAGAAAAAAAGGAATTGGGTCTGCTGGCTCTGTGCCCAGACCTCTGCTCTTGGGACTAGGCATGCAGAGGAAGGGTTTTGAGTTCCAGAAGATGAGGATAGTTTTTCTACTCAGGGACCAGGAAGGAAGGGAAGTTCTTGAGGAAAAGTAAGAGCTAAGTGTAAGTGAGGAAGGGTGAAGGCTGTCAAGATGAGGACTAAAGAGGACATGGAGGAGGAAGCGCTTGAATAGGGAGTTGGCAACCAAGAAGTCAGACCTGATTAACCACAGCGTTGGCCATGAATCAACCCTGTTGGCACCTCCTGCACACACACAGAAGCCAGTGTATTGGGGCTGTGTCCTGGTAACTCATAGAGATCTTTTAAGTGAACCACTCTGTCTTTGTTTTTGTTTTTATTTTTAATTTCCAGAGGGCCACGGGCACTTGGCAGAAAGAGAGCGAGAGAGAAAGCACCCCCCTCCTCTGGGGCATGGCTATGTCATAGCCCTTTTTCTTCATTCCTGTCAGGATTTGGGGCACACATCCGCAGGATTTTCTTTCTTCCTTTTATTTTTTAAAGAACTATTTTATTCAACTTTATTTGTTCATTTATTAATTTGACCAGAGAGGGACAGAATGAGAGAGAAAGAGAAAGCAAGCCGCTAGGTCTGGAACTAGAACTACGGTTGGTCATGTGGGAATCTAGCGCTCTTAACCACCACGCCACCTGGCGGTCCCAACATGTACAGGGTTTTCAAGCTTCCAGGGCCAGGAGTTGAACATCTGGAATCCAGCTGCATCGCAGAAGGGTGCAGGTGCAGGGAGGGGAGGATTCCTGGCTGCTTTTGTAGTCTAGAACCGTGGGATTAAACACAAAGAATTTGGAGCCTCTTGTCCTGTTTTTAGGGTTGAATTCTTGTCTTTTTCTTCCCCAGAGTTTACAGTGACCGTCAAAGAAACATATTGCTCAGTGACAAACCTCGTGCCCAATACCCAGTATGAATTTTGGGTCACAGCTCAGAATAGGACTGGTCCCAGCCCCTCCAGTGAGCGTGCAGTGTACATGACAGGTAACAGGGGCACTCGTTTTCTGTAATGAGGGTCTGCATTCATGGAGACATAGGAGTCACCGGGTCCTCGATGTCACGGGGTTCTTGATTTCATTTGGAAGGGCAGAAAGAACTGCATACTTTTATTTCTTTCATTTAATACACCGAGTCTACATGACTGGTTGCACAGGAACATTTCTTCATGGCTGATCTCAAAATACTAAAACATCCCATCTGTGGTCTCACTGACATCTGGACCTTGCAGCCACACTCCTCTCCAGGAACGTTCTAAAGGGGCTCCCTGGTCTGCTTTACTCCCACTCAGTCTTTCGTGGGAGGAAGAGGGTGGCCGCGATGCTTGCCCATGGCTCTGAACAACGTGGCTGGGAATGAGCCCTGTGATCACTTCTCTCCTTTCTCCTGTCTTCAGCCCCTTCCCCTCCCATTATAAAGAGGAAGGAGATAAGGAGCTGTGAAGAGGCCGCGCTGATTTGCTGGGAGTCTGGAAACCTGAATCCGGTGGACTCGTACACAGTGGAGCTAATCCAGGCAGATACGCCAGAAGCCTCAGGTGTGACAGAGTGAGTCACAAGGGCACTTGCTGGGCTTGAGAGACCCTGACACAGTGAGAGGGCTCAGGAAAGGTATGGAGTCAGGGGCTGGCCTCACGGTGCGGTAGTTAAAAGTTGTGCTCTGGGCCATATTCCACATAGCCAACGACAGTTCTAGCCGGGTGGCTTAGAAAACACTCTGAGCATGTGCATGCATGCCCACAATCCTGAGTGGAGGAGAAGGGATTAAGCATGACCGTGCCCCATGGGGGTGCTTCCTCTCTTTGTCTCTCTTTCTCTCCCTCCCTGATCCCTATGTCCAGTGAGCATATACACCCTCGGGCATTAAAAAAAAAAAAGGGCCAGCAGGTGGCATGGTGGTTAAGAATGTTGGACTCCCACATGGCCAACCGCAGTTCGAGCCCCAGACCTGGCAGCTTGCTTTCTCTCTCTCTCTCTCTCTCTCTCTCTCTCTCTCTCTCTCTCTGCCCCTCTCTGGTCAAATTAAAATAAAATAAATAAACAAAAAATAAAGTTAAAATAAAAAATAATTCTTAAAAAATGTGGAAATGCTTAGAATCTGTAGAGAAGCTCAGAATCTGTGATACATGGAAATTCCTTTTTTTTTCGAGAGATTTTTGCTATAGGGTACATGTGCTTCCCAGAGAGAGAGAGAGAGAAACAGAGAAACAGAAAGTGAGAAATCACCCCCTAGGGGGTTGGCCACAACGCAGTTCCTTCTTCTCCATTCTCCTTTCAGAATTTTGGGCACGCATGCATGCACACACACCCAGCGTGAGTTGCAAGCTGCCAGGTCTGGGACTTGAACTACGACTGGCCATAAGGGAGTCTAGTGTCTTCATCATTATGCCACCTGCTGGCCCTCTGTGAACTTTTTGAAGACTTATCATAGATGAGAACTGAACTCCAGACCACCAGAGTGTACAGTTCTTAAGAGTCCATGGACGGTGGAGGAAGAACGGATGTGCCTCTAGTTTGCAACCTGGCATTCTGGAAGCCTGTGGATGAACCAGCCAGGGACCTGGCACCACCACGCTAGGGGCTGCCCCATTGTGGAACATGGAGTGCACTGACCTGGATCTGAAGTGGTAGGGAAGCAGATTCTTCTATGCTAAATGCCAAGCTTGGAACCAGGCTATCCATCCCCCATCCATCTGTTCCAGGTGAATCTACGTGACCACAGCCACATTAAGGCTGGCCCTAGATACCTGCTTCTGGAGCTACTCAGGAGTGGGGCAGGGGTCCGTGGGTTCAGTTTCCTTTGCAATTTGTGCCAATACCACAGTAGCACCTGACACCTGGAACCAACCCATAAAGATGAGGTTATGAGAGGGCTGGTCAGTGACCTGAAGGGAAGAAATAAATTATTAAATTTAAAAGAAAAAAGGTTCATGGAAAATGCATATTGTGAAAAACTATGCATGGATTTTATAAGTTTTTACACCAAAATAAGTTGTACTTTAATCCTATTCCCATGAACTTTTTATTTTTATTTTTGAGGTTTTTGTCTTAGGGCATGTGCACTCACCAGAGATAGTGAGAGGGAAAATGAGAAATCACCTTCTAAGGAGGATGGCCACACCACAATCCCTTCTCCTCCTAGGATCTTGGGCATGCATGCACATGCACCTGGCATGATTTTCAAGCCAGTGGATCTGGAATTCGAATGACAGCCATGTGGGCGTCTAGTAATATAACCACTAAGCCATCTGTTGGCCCCACTATGACCTTTTTAAAAATTTTTAAATAATTATTTTATTTAGCTTCATTTATTTATTTTAATTTGACCAGAGAGGTACAGAATGTGAGAGAGAAAGAGAGAGAAAGTGAGAAAGCAAGCCGCTAGGTCCAGGACTCGAACTGCAGTTGGCCATGTGGAAGTCCAGCACCCTTAACAACCATGCCACCTACTGGCCCCCCCATCATGACGTTTTAAAAGTCTCCTCACCCAGTGACCTGGAATCTAAAGAGCATAATTAGCGTTTAGACAATGAACAAGCGCAAGTGCCACTCTGGCTTAGAGCTGCAGCCTCTGGGATGACCTGGTCAGCCTGGCCTAGTCTGGGTGAGGGTCTTCCATCTCGAAACTGCCATCTCCCTGAAGACTTCTCTAGCCCACCTAGACTGGAGGAATGCAGATGGTGCCATTGATGGGTTTATGTTGCTGTATAGTACAATTTAAATAAATTTGGTAATGGGCCAATAGCTGGCATGGTGGTTAAGGCACTGGATTCCGCATGGCCAACTGCAGAGTTCAAGTTCTAGACTCTATGGCTTGAAAATCACTCTGGGTGCATGTGTGTGCGTGCCCAAAAACTTGAGAGGAGAATGGAAGACAAGGGATTGTGGTGTGACCATCTACCCTGGGGGGCGGTTTCTCATTTTTTCTCTCTTTCTGTCTCTCTGCGGTAAGTGCACACACCTTATAACAAAAATCTTAAAAAAAAAAAAAAAAGTAGATTTAGTTATTTCCAATAGGCAGCTGTCTTCAGGTGGTTAACATCAATCACTGGGCTGGCTTCTGTGGGCCCTTTTAGCTCTAGTTAAAGTCATTTGTTCATAAACGCATATCAAAAGCCTTCTGTAGGACCGGCCACTTTGCTTGGGTTAGGTACTCAGCCCCAGCCCTCAGGGACGTTACAATCCCACAGACAGGTGGAGACACACTGGCTTCTGCACGCATGCTCTGCGTGCCAGTTAGACGTGTGGCAAGCACGGTGCTAGGGGCCTAGGAAACTGGGTTAGGGAACTCAGAGAGGGACAGCTACAAACACGGGGATTAACACTGAAGCAAGGGAAAGTGGATGGGGCTGTGGGTCAGAGGGTGATTTAAGTACCTAAGCCCTGAAAGGGACGCCAGTACTCAGAGCCAGATACCCTGGCCCCACACCAACTTCAGCCCTGCTTCCGTCCCAGGTCTGTTGTGGGCATCCCAACCTGTGAGGCCCTGGTCCAGCTGCAGCCCAGGCAGAGCTACACGATCTACGTGCGAGCCCTCAGCGTGGGAGGCCCCAGTGCCAGGAGCGAGCCTGCTACCGTCCACACCACAGGTCTGTGCCCCGGTCATGCACTCTCTGGGGCCTGAGGTGGCCACTTTGTGGCAGACCCAGTGCTGCCACGACTTCACTGGAAAGCAGATGAATATCATAGGTAGGGACTCTTGGCAGATCAGGCCTAGAAGGGGCTCAGGGATGATCACAGTCTTGTGGTCCCATTTTGGAGATGGGGAGACCAAAGGCCCGAGTCACATAGCAGTTTGGTGGCCAAGCAAGCCCCAGGGGATGCTATACCCCCAATTCCAGTTTCTTCTTCCCTTTCCCTTCCCATAACCTTACTCCAGAACTGTCACATCTCATGCCCAAGTCTTGAGTTAGCAAAGTCAGCAGTAGGAACAGCCAACGTCTGTGGTCCCCACTCTGCGCTCTGCATTCTGAGCTTTGCCGAGGCGCCTTGAAGCCAGGTGTCTGTTTCCACACTTTCAGGAGGAAATCCAGCTCAGACCAGCTGGTTAGGCAGAGAAGTGGGGAGCCTGGGCCCAGGGCTTGGGGACAACATTGCCTTGGCTGGGTCTCTCATTGAGACATTGTGTCATTTCGTCCTCATTTCCAATACTGTTGGGGCCAGCTCCATGGCCTGGTGGTTAAAGAAGTGGCTCTTATGTGGTCAACCACATGGTTGTAGTCCCAGACCCAGCGGCTTGATAAATACACCGGGACGTGTGCGTATGTGCCCAAAGTGCCCAGAGGTGGGAGAGATGGAGGAGAAAGGATTGCAGTGTGATTGCGCCCTATCAGGAGAGGCTTTCTCCCTGACCCTCTCCTCTCTCTCTCTGTGAAGAGTACCTGCACCTCGGGAAAACAACAAAAAACAAGACCAAAATAAAACTAAATAATGTTTTATTAAGTCTCTTCTCTGCCAGTTTTCGGTGAGCTTTGTTTTAACCCTGATTTGGGACCGACTAACCTCCTTTCTTGTCCCCTGCCCTAATTGCAAGTCAAACACTGAATTTTGCTAACCTTTCAAACAGTTCACTAGCAATCCCTCCAGTTCCTAGTTCCCGTACCAAGTAGGTGAGAAATCCTGTCTGTGTGCAGGTATTTACAACCTAGGCGGTAAGAGCCTCTGCGATCAGAGGCTTGTCCAGATTTCAGTTGTCACTGCCAGCTGACTTCCTAATCACCCTGTCTCAGCATCCTCATCTACAAAATGGACGTAGTAACTCCTCTTTCTAAGTGTAATCGTAAGGAGAGCACACAAGAACTGCCCACCACACATTAACTGTCATCCTTATTATTGGATGGCAATTATTCTGCAAGGTCCAGACTTAGGCCTGACCTGCCTGGGGCTAAGCCAGCGATGAGCAGGAGAAACCTCTGCCAGTGGGGAGCACCGTCATGGCAGTGAAAACATTGGCTGGGGGTCTTCTCTCTGTCCCCTCCCCCACAGGAAGCTACTTTCACCTAAACAAGGACACCTGCCATCCGTGGCTGACCATTTCTGAAGACGGGTTTACAGTCGTAAGAAGAGAAGGGAAAGCCCGAGTGAAGGAGCTGCCACCCGACAGCACCCGATTTACCAGGTACTCTCTCTGCTGCTCCCTAGAACATTCTGGGAACTTCCCTGGTACACACCATTATTCAGGCAAAGTCAGATTATGACAGATACATTATGAAAGGGGAAAGAAATCTCAGAAATGAGTGAGGAACGAAGGGGTGAGGAAGGGTCTGGCTGGTGCTCAAAGAGGCTGTCCAGGGCCTAGAGCAGGGCAAGGTCTTGGGGATCCTCTCGCACTATCTGGTAGTATAAGAACAGAAACAAGGGCCCAGGGCTCCTACTGTCAGCCCAGTGCCTTCTCCAGCACTGCAATGCCTTACACCAGAACTGCTGTGACAACTGGCGGTGGTCCGAGCCTCGCCAAAGCTGGAGGGGACAACTGGCCTTAAGCTCAGGCAGGAATGAGGGAGACTACTGGTCTACCAGATGCTGCCCCCGTCTAGCTCTCTAGCTGCTTCTAGAACTTGGTACTAATTAAGGCTGAAATTATTTTACTATCTTTCTTTTCAAAGAAATGTAAAAGGATTAAAAGTAAGGGGAAAAAAAAAAAAAAAAAGTAAGGGGCAATTTTCAACTTCCGGGGCTAATTCTGTTTGGAGGATTAAACATTAAATGTAACCTCTTTGCTTCCCAGCCACCAGGGCAAAATGTGTTCTTGGTTGGTTGGGTTTTTAGAGTCAAGAGGAAGGACTGCTGATGGAAAACCACATTCAGCCTCCCTGCCTGGGTCCTGGCTGGTCCCCTCAGCTGTCTCGACTCTGGCTTCCAGCTGGCCTTTGGACCACTCATAGGGCGAGCACCGACTGTAAGTTAGTGTGAAACAGCGGGACTCTGCTGGGTTCAGAGGAGAACACTTGATCTTGTCTCTCCTCTGCCCACTCAGGCCAAGGCTGGAGGCGTAGAGAACAGGAAGAAGTAACAGAGGCCTTCCGTGACTGGCACCACGCACTGTTTACAGTTGACTCTGGTGGGCACTTATTAAGGGCTAGAGCAGAGATTAAACTAGACGCTTAGGAACCACAACATCATTCCTTAGTTTTCTGCCTTGGATACTGTGTGATAATAAGTCTGTTAACCAAACTGGAGAAAATATGACAAATATGTACCACCAGACTCCGAACACACACTTTGGTGGGTGAGAGGCAAGAATGTGAATGTTTCCGTTTGGGACATTCTGAATTTGAGACAGCAGGTGGAATTGAGTCTAGAGCTTGGCATAGAGATGGCGTCACTTGATAGGTGAGATGACTGAGGGGAGGAGTTAACATGCAGCCTCCTCCTCAGGCATTCAGAGCTTTGGCATTTTGAAATACTGAATGAAAAAGGGCAGACATCAGCAGATGGCGTAATGGTTATGTTGCTGGACTCCCACATAGTCCACCATGATTCACGTCTCTAACCCAGCAACTTGAAACTCACGTTGGGTACATGTGCGTGAGTGCACAAAATCCTGAGAGGAGAATGGAGAAGGGACTGAGGCATGGCTATCCCCCCAAGGAGGTGATTTCTTGCTTTCTGTCTCTGTCTCTTTGGCGAGCGCATAGGCCCTATAGTAAAAAATCTCTCCCCCGCCAAAAAAAGAACAAGGACAACTAAAAAGTAAAAGCTATAAAGCAAAGGAATTTATTTGTCTGACAAAACTAGCTCCAAATAAGGGTCAGACCCTGGGACACACATCCAGCATCACGGGCAGCACTCTCAGAAAGAAATGACGGACAAACCCCCTGACTCAGAGGAAGCAGGCCTCCTTTAAGCTAAAGTGTTTGTAAGAGTATATTTGGGGGCCAGCATGTGACATAGTGGTTAAGTCGGCTGGATCCCACATGGCCGACTCCATGGTTTGAGTCGAGCAGTTCGTGGGTAGTAAGATAATGGATCCTTCTTCGAGTCAGGAGGGTCCTTCAATGGTCCATGGTTCGTTCGTACTGCATCCTGTGAGCTTTCAGTCTCTTTTTTTAATGAACAAGTGAATCAAACTTGTATTATTTGTATTATAAAAGCCCCAAATTGGGCCTTCAGGTGGCATAGTGGTTAAGTTACTGAATCCCACATGGCTGACAGCACAGTTCAAGTCCTGGACCCAGCAGCCTGGAAAATAGCCAGGCACATATGCCTGTGTACCCAAAATTCCAAGAGGAGAACGGAGGAGAGGGATGGTGGCATGACTATCCCCCTGAGGGGTGATTTCTCACTTTCCCTTTCTGTGTCTGTCAAGTACATATACACTATGGTGAAAAAAAAAACAAAAAAAAACCTTTAATAAAAAGACCCCAGGGGCCAGCAGGTGGCGTGGCAGGGGCCAGCAGGTGGCATGGCAGTTGAGGGTGCTAGACTCCCACATGGCCAACTGTGGTTCGAGTTCTAGACCGGGCGGCTTGCTTTCTCACTTTCCTTCTCTCTGGTACATATACACACACACATATACCAGCAGTTGGTGTAATGGCTATGTCCCTGGACTCCCATGTAGTCGACCACAGTTCAAGTCCTGGACTCAGTGGCTTAAACTCACGCTGGACGCTTGTGCGTGCGTGCCCAAGATCCTGAGAGGGGAATGGAGGAGAAGGGATTGCAGCATGGCCATTCCCTCTGGGGGGTGATTTCTCGCTCTCTCTCTCTCTCTCTCTCTCTCTCTCTGTCTTTCTGGTGAGCACATGCACCCTATAGCAAAAACCTCTCAAAAAATATTTATTTTTTTAAAAAAGGCCGCATATCCTTTGTGAGAGGGCACGGAGCCTGTCCTGTTGGTTTCATGTCCTCCTCTCCCGTTGTTTCCAAGTATAACAGTCCTCTCCTCCTCCTCAGTGCCAGGTGAACTCTGGGCACCGAGGCAGGTCCAGAAGCACCTCCCTCCATACTTGTAGGGCCCCGACTGAGCCTGGCATCACTTGTCACACTACCAGGCACCCCTAAGTCATACATGTTTTCACTTTCTAAACCCAGGTGTGCTGCTGTCATGGGAAGTCTGATTCCAGTGCGAGGGCGCCATTACTGGGAGGTGGAAGTGGACGAGCGTGTGGACTACACGGTTGGCGTGGCCTTTGAAGATGTCCCCAAACACGAGGACCTGGGAGCGACCCACCTCTCCTGGTGCATGAGGCACACATTTGCCTCATCGAGGTAAAGTAAAACCTGGGCACTGAGATGAAAATTGGCTTTTGAAAGATTAGGGTGAAAGATTTTCGCCAACAGTTAAGTAAGGATCACATTACGATTTACTGAATATTCTAAGGTATTTCTAGAGTTGTTTCCCGGTGAGAAGAGAAAGAACAGTTTTTTTGTTGCGATAAAAATATCACAAATTCATGTAGAGCTTATTATGTGGCAACCGTTATTCTACATTCTTACATGGATGGGCTCATTTATTCTCAAAATTGTGTTATCCCACTTGAAAAATAAGAACACTTCCCCTCACAGCAGTTAGCTAAGCCCCCAACACGGGACTCAGAGCTTGGATGCAGACCCAGGCAGACTCATTCAGACCCTGGCTCCAAAGACTGCATTCTTAACCACTGAGTGACCCATTTTTCATCTGCGCATAGCTCCAGTGTGATTAAATAGACACAGTTGAATTGATGGACCCAGTTCCATCTTGTTAAGTGAACATGGCAAGCAGCTTAATGGTTATGGCAAATTCTGGTCTGCGTCTACTGCTGAGTACTCGATCTTTATACATGGGGTGCTGTCATGAACTTGGGGGGAAACCCATGAAGCCCAGGTCCATGGGTGAGATTTTCAGACTTGGAAGGCCATGGTTACAACCCTCTTACACCTCAAAAATTGCAAAAACAAAACAAACACCACACTGCTTTCTCAGAACCCCTTGAAATTTGGAGCCTCCGGCCTCCTTTGGCTTCAGAAGTTGTATTAATGTTCATCCAGTGTTCTGTGCCCCTGCCCCTCTGTCATGGCTATTTAAATATTATCATGCTCAAACTTAAGTTGGAAGACTTCCCCTATCAGAGATTTAGACTGTAACAAATCCCAGTAAGCTTCAGAGCCAGTTTGGAGAATGTAAGAATTTCTGTGTACTAAGCCAGATAGTTATTTTAAGATTCTGCCTGAAGTAAAACTAAAGATCAAAGTCTCCTCTCCTTCAGAAAGGGGAGAGCCAAGGGCCAGAGAAAACCGAGGTAGTGTAAAGGACATGAAGGCATCTGTGGGTAGTGGGCAGGGCTGGGGGTTAGATGAGAGAAGAGAGATGACAATGTGAGATAGAATGAAAAAAGAAGGGCAAAACCAACAGGCCAAAAGGTAGAGCCAGAGCAGTCCTATCCTGGAAAGATGTAGGTGTGTGTGTGCGCGTGTGTGTGTGTGCGGGTGCACATGTGTGCAGCAAGTAGAGGAGGAGAGTAAGGTATCCCAGGATGAGGGATCCTGGCTGACTCATATTTTTTGGTTCATAGTGTTAGCTCTATTGATGGTGGGAGGGAAGGGCTCGTTTAGCTTGTTTAAGGAAAGGGGCCACAGAGAAGATAAAGGGAGCTGGAAAGGAGACGGGCTGACTTGCTCTGGCACACTTAGAGGTCTTCCAGGTGTCCGTCCCAGCATGCTAGCCTACCGAGCTCTTCCAGTGTCTGTAGGCAGTCAGAAATCACTGCGACTGGCTTTGGTTTCAGCCCTCTATGAGAGCGCGGAGGACACTGGGTACTTGCACTGTCCAGCACTAATCAGTGACAGGCCTGCTGGCTGCTCTGAGGTCTGCAAACTCAAGAACTGAGTGGCAGACCATCCTGTAGTACAATGGTTAAGTACTGTGTGGAAGCTAGATCCCACAGGGCCACCAGGTTCAAGTCCCGGTCCTGGTGGCTTAGAAAACACACAGAATACAATCATGACAGGATGGAGAATGGAGGAAAAGGATTGCAGCGTGACCAGACCCCAGTCTCTCTCTTTCTCTCTGATGTGCACATGCTCTCTGACATTTAAAAAAAAAAAAGACTGAAAGCCTCGGTGTACTTGTACACAGGAGAGCTCACCAGAAAGGCTCCTTTAATCACACGAAGATCCCAGGGTTCCCTATTTCAGATGTCTGTTACAAAAGATTTACACATTTGAACTCTGAAATCCAGATTTTTAAAATGTGTTCTGTTTCTATGCTAATTTTGATACAGTATGCATCCGTGATATTTTATATATAAGTTTCTTAGACTAAGAAGCTGCTCACAAACAGAGTTTGTAATGAATTTCTTAGGACAGGTTTTAGAAAAGAGATGCAGTATAGAGGACCTAGTTAAATGAACTGTTGCTCTGGTCATCATTAATACACAACAAGCACGTGAATAAAATCAATGTGAAATGTTCTATCAGTAGTTCATCCACAGGATTTCTGAAGCTTTGTTATATCAACATTTAATTTCCAGGCATAAGTACGAATTTCTGCACAACAGGACATCTCCAGATATACGAATAACAGTTTCCCCAAAGAAGATTGGCGTTCTGTTAGACTATGAAAATTCAAAGTTGTCATTTTTCAATGTGGACATCTCTCAGCATCTACACACATTCAGTTGTCAGCTGCACCAATTTGTGCACCCCTGTTTTTCTCTGGAAAAGCCTGGGACTCTAAAGATACATAATGGCATTTCGATGCCAAAGCAGGCCACTTTCTATTAGACCAGTCGGCCATTCTGATGGTGTTTCTCCACTTTTGTACATGCCCTTTCTGAGGCCTCTCCTGGCCCAGCTGCCTGACTTTGGCATTCAAGCACCACGTGTCCAGCACAACGCAAGATTCACATTATCATCCGACAGACTGCTATGCTGGCACTCGGCCCCTGACCTAGACTCTAGTCCTGGGCACTGCCTGTGTAACACTTAGGTAGTCATTCCCAGGCCTGGCTGTATGAGGAGGGCTTGGACTAAATTAAAGTCCGTCAGGTTATCCGACTGTATCGGTCTGTTTGTGTGTGTGCAGTTATCTTGAGCGTCCAAGGCCTTTAGAGCTACAGGGAGGAGAGGGGATCTTACTGGCTCCAGCAGCCGGGGTGTAGTCATGACAGTTCATGAATTTCCAAGTAACAGGCCTGAGAAAGTGAGTGGCTGCCCAGAGGACCAGGGCAGCCATAGAGCCCCGTGCCTTCCTCAGTGGCCTTCTACCTCCTGTCTTCCCATGGTGAGCAGCACCGTGGCTCGCATCCTCCCACCGTCCACTCTCATGCACTGTACTCACACCTCTCTAGTTCCAGAATGACCTCTATGATGCCTAAGTCCATGAAGGCAGGGACGGTGTCTGTCTTGTTCGTCTCTTGATCCTAAAGGGTTAACGCGGAACAGGGGCACACCATGTATTTGCTGAATAAATGAGTGTCTTCTTCATCTAACCGCTGCTTCTTGGCCTCTCACTGCTCCCCATGTGAGGGATGGCAGGGCTCTTTCAGAACCACGCCCGAAAACCGAAGGCCAGGAGGCGGGGGAAGCTGGCAGGGCTACAGCAGGGAGGAAGAGAAGGGGATATGTGGCTTGATGGCAAGATTGGGGAAATGAACTATTACACACTAAATGCTACACACAAGCAGCCTACACATCATTGTGGTATGTTCACACCCTTGTGTTTGTATGTGTGTGTGTGTGTGTTGAAGGGGACTATGGGATAGATGAGAAAAAAAAACAGAAAATATTAGCTGTTGGGCCAGCCTGGTAGCTTAACGGTTAAGGGAGCTGGATCCCACATGGCCAACTGTGCTTCCAATCCCAGCCCCAGTTGCTTTAAAAACACACTGGGTCTGGGACCAGCAGATGGGATAATGGCCACGTTGCTGGTCTCCCACATGGCCTACCGTGGGTCAAGTTCTGGACTTGACGGCTTGAAATTCATGCCAAGCACATATTCGTGCATATCCAGAATCCCAAGGAGAGTGAAGGAATTACGGCATGGCCATCCCCCCTGAGAGGGTGAGTTCTTGTTTTCTTTCTGTCTTTCTGGCAAGCACATTGCACCCTATAGCAAAAATCTCTAAATATACACACACACACGCACTAGGTACAAATGTGGACATGGCCAAAATCCTGACAGGTAGGACAAATGATGGGAAAAGGACTGCAGCATGACCACACTCCACGGGGGGTGCTTTCTCCTCTCTCTCTCTCCGGCGAGTGTACTACTTCCTGGCAATTAGAAAAAATGAAAAGAAAACATGAGCTACAACTGATTTTAGTAACTATCCCTGCAACATAGAGAACTGGATTTGAAACCAGAAGACCTGGGTTTGATTGCTTCTTTGTAGCTGCTTTGTCTTACAACCCTGGAAGAGTCACCTAACCTTCCAGAGCATCTATTCCCCTTCAACGGGAAGAATAATACCTGTCTCCCAGGGAGATTCACTGGAAGTCCTAAGAGCACCTAACAGTACGTGGCACACAGCAAATGCACAACAGGTTTTTTAAAAGACATCACTAGGCCGGGACCAGCAGTTAGCATAATGGCTATGTTGCTGGACTCCCACGTAGTTGACCGCGGTTCGAGTCCCGGACCCGGTGGCTTAAACTTATGCCAGGCACGTGTGTGTGCGTGCCCAAGATCCCAAGAAGAGAATGGAGGAGAAGGGATTACGGCATGGCCATGCCCCCTGGGGGGTGATTTCTCGCTTTCTGTTTCTCTGTCTCTGTCTGGCAAGCGCACGCGCCCTATAGCAAAAACCTCTCCAAAAAAAAAAAAAAAAAAAAATCACTAGGCCAAAGAAAGGACAAAGCTGAGCACAGCAGGAGTGGCCTCTTGCTCTCCGGCATCCAGTGAGGTTGTCCATGCCATCCTGTGACCTTGACACCCAGCTCCATCAGCCGCATCCCTGGTTCTCCAGTTCAGGTTTCCAGCTGCCACTTAAGTTCTGCCTATGCAGCATTTTTGAAGCATATGAGTCAGGCTGCAAAGTACCTCTATTTGCAAAGCAGTTATCCGAGACAATTCAGTGCCACGCTCCATGGATGCCTCTCCAAGCAGATATGCCCTAATCTCTATGTTTAAGCTTCTGTGTTAACTGAAACTAGCCTTTCAATTTACAACTTTCATGATTTCCAGCACTCACAAAGTCTGACACACTGCACACTACTGAACTCTGCCTACTGGCATGAACAGCAGCTCAGATTCCCAAATTAACAACTCACCCTGATAATTTTACAGCTTATTTTACACACACACCACCCCTGCCCTGCCAAATGGATCACCCACCCTGAAATAAGCAAAGTACAGCAGATGTAAGCACAGAAATAGTTCAAGTTATAAACAACCTAAACATGCTTATTCAAAAATGTTCTCAGTGGGACCAGCAGTTAGCGTAATGGCTATGTCGCTGGACTCTCATGTAGCCCACCGTGGTTCAAGTCCCGGATCCAGGGCACGTGTGCGTGCGTGCCCAAGATCCTGAGAGAATGGAGGAGAAGGGATTGCGGCATAGCCATCCCCCCTGGGGGGTGATTTCTCACTTTCTGTCTGTCTTTCTCTGTCTTTCTGGTGAGCGCACGCATCCTATAGCAAAAACCTCTCAAAAAAAAA